CCATTTTCTGCTAACAGCATTTGACCATTCATTTCCGGCATTTCTTATTACAATTTGACATTATTCGGCCCCATTCTCGCTACAGCATTTGACATTATCTTGGTCATTTCTATTACAATATTTGGACCATTTATTCCGGCCCATTTCTATCTACAATATTTGACAGTATTCGGCATTCCTGATTACAATATTGACCGTTATTTGGCCATTTCTACACAGCATTCTGACATCTATTCTGAGCCACTTTCTACTACAGCCATTTGACATATATCTTGGCCATTTCTATAATACAATCACTTTACATTATTCGGCCATATTGCCCTATTACTTCAATCTTTTTGACATTATTCGGCCTTTCTGCATACAGCATTTGAAATTTATTTTGGCCATTTTCTATTACAATATTTCACATTAATTCGGCCATTTCTATTACAATATTGACATTAACTTGGCAATATCTCATTTACAATATTTACCATTATTTGGCATTTCTGCTACAGCATTTTGTGACATTTTCGCCATTCTATACAATATTTGACATTTATTTGGCCATTATCTGCATACAGCCCCCATTTTTTTTTTGGGGAAAAAAAAACCCCCCCCAAAAATATTTTCCCCGGGGGGCCCATTCTTATTTACAAATATTGACATTATTCGGCCCATTTCTATTACACTATTTGACATTATCCGGCCTTTCATAAATATTTTGACATTATTGGCGCATTTGCTACAGCCATTTGACTTTCGCCATTCGATTACCAATTTGCACATTATTCGGCTATTTCTGCCTACAGCATTTTGACATTATTTGGGCCATTTCTATTACAATCGATTTGACATTATTCGCCATTCTGCTACAGCAAACATTATTTCGGCCATTTCTATTACAATATTTGACATTATTCGCCATTTTCTATTGACACTATTTGACATTAGTCCGGCCATTTCTATTATATATTTGACATATTCTCGGCCATTTCTATATACAATTCTTTGACATATTCGACCCATTTATTACAATCTTTGACAATTATTCGGCCATTTCATTTAACACTATTTGACATTACCGGCCATTTCTATTACCAATATTGACAATTTTTCGGCCAGTCTGATTTACAATTTTTGACATTTATTTCGGCCATTTCTGCATACAGCATTTGACATTACTCGGCCCATTCTCATTTACAAATATTTGACATTAATTCGCCATTTCTATTCACAAGATTTGACATTGATTTGCATTTCGCTACAGCATTTGACATTATTCGGCCATTTCTATTACAATATTTGACATTTATTCGCCATTTCTTGCTACAGGCAATTTGACATTATTTGGTCATTTCTATTACAATATTGACATTATTTGGCCATTCATCTATTTACAATATTTGACAGTATTCGGCACGATTCTCTTTACAATATTGACAGTATGTTGGCCATTTGTCACTACAGCATTGACATTAAATTTGGGCCATTTCTACGTTACGCATTGACATTATTTGGCCATTTCTATTATCAATATTAACATTATTCAGGCCATTTCTATTTACCAAAAAATTTTTGGACCCAATTTTTTATTCGGCCAATTTCTGCTACAGCATTTGACATTATTTGGCCTTTCTTTACAATCTTGATTATATATTTGGCCATTCTATTAAATATTTGACATTATTCGTGCCATTCTCTACTACAATATTGGAACATTTCTACTGGTACATTCCTCGAAAATTGCTTATAAACTTTCTGTTGGCACTATCGACCTGATAGCAACAGTTTCAGTGCTTGATTTGCTATTATTCAATAAAGCAAGAAGCAATCATTTTACCTCTCCGCAGCCAATTTAACAACTATTCAATGCAACGTAAAAATTTGAAACTATTCTTACGGCAAACCATGAAACTATGCCCATTACTTGCAGGGTTGAAAGACAGTTTTCAAATACCCCTAATTTATGGTGAAGGCATGCATTTTTAGTAACTTGCCGAATTTGCGCTCCAAAAACTTTGGGTAGATATTTTGACTTGCACAATTACATTGCGATTAGTGCGGGACTTGGCCTAATTTTGACTGTGTTGTTGAAGCGTGACGGCCCAGCACACAACAGTGGATGGACCAAAGGTTGGACACATAAATTGTTACAGGCAAAATCATGAAGTTTTTGCGGTTTATGAACCATTGAAAACTGGCTTTTGAGAGAACAACATTTTACAACGAGATGGGCTCAGAGCTCTTTTTTAGAAAAAATGCTTTTAGCCAATATGTTGTGAAATGTTTCCCTTTTTTTCAGAGCGATTTTTGATTTGGCTCTAACTGCTGAAGGATTTTCATGACTTGGCACTTGACTTTACAATCGGAAAAATTCAATTAACGTGAATATGAATGACAGCTTTCTTGGGAAAACTTCCTATTTTCGCATTTATTATTTAAATACCGAATTCTTCAAAGGAATGTTTTTTTTTCGAAAATATCAATAGGCTCGTTTAAACCACTTTGCTTGCATTATCAATGTTTTATTTAATCCAATTCTGGCAAAAGAATGCTGCTCGAGCAATGTAACCAGCGTTACTTTTGACTTTGTACTCATACTTCATGCTTACTGAAACAAGTTACAGCTCCATATTTGTCATTTGGAAATTAATGAGCGTATAGGCGTCTTTGGTGAGTAATTCAATTTGTGTGTTAAATCATGCGTAAAGATGTTTTCATGTCAAAGAAATTTTTTGCTATTTTTGCCTTGATGAGCACGTGATGAAGTCAAACCGTTCACTTTCACTTAGCCTCCTTCCTTTGATGATTGGCTCATAAGAAGATAATTTTACATGCCTAAACAGTTCTTTCCATAATCGGCTTATAATTCCTGTCTATAAGGAGCTTTTATTTCCCACCA